CATAAGTCAGAAATGACCAAAAACAGTCATTTAGGCTGGCTACCACAGCAACTACATAAAGTTATTAGCTTATGTTTTCCCTGATCTATATATATAATTCATCTGAAGCTTGCAGAGTGGTGGAGGCCTAGAACTGGTAAGACCAACCAAACCCAAATACTCACATGCCCATTAGTGTCCCTTGTACTAACAACTCTCTTGCAGCAGCTTTCCAATACTAGCTAGTTTTCCAACACTCTTTTCAAATATAATTAGATGATCAAAATAGAACAATATAGGTAGCATGCAGAATCTAGCCCTAGTCACTATAAAACCAACATAAGTCTAGCGGGCTGCAAGTTAGGCAAGAAGGCTTTCATAGCCAGAATCACTGGGTTGTTGTGTGTTTTCCAGGCTGTCTGGCCATCTTCCAGAAGCATTCTCTCCTGACGTTTCGCCTGCATCTATGGCAGGCATCCTCAGAGGTTGTGAGGTATGTTGGAAACTAGGAAAATGGAGAAGTCTACACCAGAAAAATCAGGGCCAACTAATCACCTCCCAAAAAAGAAGTAAGAAGCCAGACCTTGAAAACTGCTAGGTCATTAAATGTTAATCAAGGTGGCCAATTGCTACATTAATGTCTACCTCAAACAGACATGAATTCTTTCTCCCACCCTGGACATTCCACAGATATATAAACCCCACAACCTCTGAGGATGCCTGCCACAGATGTAGGCGAAACGTCGGGAAAGAATGCTTCTAGAACCTGGCCACACAACCCAGTTTTTAAACTGTTTTTTTATAACAACCAGGAGAGAGATGACCAGACCGATTTGCTTCGTTCTCTAGACACCTTTTGAGAAAATGCGGGACCTAAATGAAGTGACTGACAAATTGATTGATTGCCTTTTCTATCATTCTGAGAGACATCTGCTGATTAGCCTGTGGTTGAGGCATATGTTCCCATGATGTTTTATATGCAGTATTTATTTCTTGCGCATCCTATCTAGATTGACATAGAGCAGCCTGTGAAATGTTAATTTTACAATAAAATAGGTTTAACAGATTAATAGTCCTGGTAGTCTGAGCATTTATTCGTAAGCAAACACCGTTTTCATTAAAGCAAGTAAGTGGCCTATTAACTGTACACAAAACACAGTTAAATTGATTACAGGAATGGAAATGATAGCAGTACAATCTAGGAAGATGTACAGCCATTAAATGATGTCGGTAATCGGAATATAACCATTACATTACTGGACGTATTTTCACAAAAAGGCAGAGTAGTTTTGATAAAGCAGCCCATTACTAAGATCTCATTTTGGATTGATATATATGAATGTGTCCAGAAAGAACATCAGATTTTCTCAGCATAGTGAAGTTACTTGCATGTTTTCTGCCTGGTATATCTCCTTATCTCTTGGCTCAAGCAAGACGTCTTCTTTACACCGCTCAGCTATTTGGGGATGCTAAATTGTCTTTGAAAACTGCTGAAAGAAGTGAGTCAGCTATCTCGATTACTCCTAAGCTCCTTCCTTCCATCCTTGCAAGTCTGATATTATTTACTTATTCACCTCTGAATGAGCCTCACTGCTCTGCTTGAACATAAAGGAACATTGTCAGTGTAACAGAAAGATGCATTATCTGTCATTTGTTAACACTGACAGGGTGAAGAGAATCCTGGATGTTGTAACTTCTGGCAGGGGAATCTAGTCAGTTCTCAACATTTGCAGATCTGACTTTTGCAGACTTCACGATTTATGGATTCTATTAATATGTTCTCTCCAAGAATCTCTGGGTCCTCCATGGTCCACGTCCACTAGAGGTCATGCTGGAGATTCCTACAGAGAATGTTTCTCTGGACATTTGGAGATCCTCCAGTGAGATTCAGGTGGAATTTGATCATAGGGTTGCTCTGGAGGACCTAGAGCAGTGGTTCTCAACCTTCCTAATGCCGTGACCCCTTAATACAGTTCCTCATGTTGTGGTGACCCCCAATCATAAATCTTGGCACAAATACTCAATATGCCCGAATGTGAAAACTGGTGGAGTTTGGGGAAAATAGACCTTGACATTTGCTGGGATTTATAGTTCACCTATAAATTGAAGGTGCTCTTTGATCACCTGCAATCAAAGAGCACTCTGAACCAGCCCACAATGGTTCTGCATCAAACTTGGCAAACAGCCTACATGGCCAACATTGATTACTGGTGGGGTTTGGAGGGGGGGCTGTTTGTGAATTCTGGGAGTTGTAGTTCACCAACATCAAAAAGGAAGAGGAGGACAGGTGGAGATATCTTCAGCCTTCTCTACCAAAAGGGTTCCTAAAACCATCAAAATATGTATTTTCTGATAGTCTTTGGCGACCCCTCTGAAACCCCGCTTTGCGGAGCCCCAGTGGTCCCGACCCCCAGGTTGAGAAACACTGACCTAGAAATTCCTAGAGAGATGTTGTCTCAAGTAAAAAAAACTAGTGTGTTCTACATTTGTGTTTTTTCTGCTTTTACGTGGCCTTGTGCCTCAAATCCCAATGAATGTGGAGGGTTGACTGAACAAGGTGCGAATAAAAACTCCATACACTACACTCTGTAAATTTAGATCAGAGGACGCGTGTGTAATAAATTTCCTTTTGTGAAAATATGAGAGGTTCAACTTTACCTCTGCCATCAACTATGTGGACTTCCATCTATATTCCACCACAATAGCATAACATATGAGAACCTTTTAGATGCCCTTATGGGTCCTATGCAAAATTTTATTTTTCTAATCCCACCACTGGACACCAGAGTCATCTTTAAATAACTATTGCCACCACAGGAATCATGTGTCTGATCTCATATGTGTGAAACTCTTATAATCTATTCTCAGAGGCAGAATTGTGCAATACACATATAATGTATTAAACACAAGTTCAATGTACCATTAAAAACCACCTGACTGAACCTTAACTAAATCTTACTTCACACTTGTTGCTCATATTCATAACTTTGAGACTCATATTTTTCATTTATAAGTGTGAGTTTTTAAAACACATGCTTACACTGATTTCTGAGTTTAGAGAAATTGGTTTTTGGATTACAACTTCAGTCAACTTTCTGAGGGATTTTGAGAGCATAGTTAATTAAAAAAACCTTTTCCAAACTCCATGCAATGTGAAATTGATTCAGAGAGGAGCAGGGTTTCTGTGTACAAAGAAAAGCAAATGTGGGAAAGGAAAGAAAGCTATACACTCATATATACATGCATACACACATACATATATGATGGGAAGAAAAAATAAATACAAGAAGCTGTCTTAAAACTTTTAAAAAATCTATCCAAAGAAAATTATTTAATCCGAATCAACTAAATCATTTACTGCTTTATCACGAAAACATATCAACTATTATTAAAATACTAATCGTCATCACTGAAGCATGATCTATTTTCATCTATTTTGTAAAGGATGAAGTTAGGAAACATTTCAGAAAGTAAAAAGGGGGGATACAACAGCAAAATGTAGACCCTACAACTGTTACTTGTTATTAATCACCCAGACCTCTATGATAATTCCAATCCTTTACTATAGATTTTTAACTGCAAAGTGTAAGTATCATGTTCTAACAATGCCAGAACGGTCAATGCTCTTCTGGTAAAAACAGAAAACGAATACAATTGGGGAAAAATTAACTTGCATGAGCAAACAGTCCCTGAGTTACAAACATCTGGCTCATAGTTAAGAATGGGGGTGACACAACAGGAAGTAAGAGAAATCTATCCCTAGGAAGGGAAATTCACTCCCGAAAGAGTTATCATAGGGAAAAGATGTCTCTGCTGGAACTTTCTCGACAATTCTTGTTCCCACAACAAGCCAAATAGTATATATATAGAGAGAGTTACACTTTAAAATGTTACCTATTCTGACTTACATACAAATTCAACCTAAGAACAAACCTACAGAATGTGTTTGTAACTTGGGGACTGCTTGTACCCATATTTCTATAACAGAGTACTTTGGAAAGCCCAAAATCCATTTGCAGAAAAGGAAACAAACAAACTAAACAACAACAACTGGATAATAGCCATATGTCATATGGCAGTCCAATGGATTTTTCAAGTTACTATTTAATCATTCATTTACATCATGGCTCCCACTTCATGTATTTACTTATTTATTTACAATATTTGTAGCCCGCCTTTCTCAACCATACGGCGACTCTAGGCAAGTTACAGGTTGGCATAATTCGATGCCAAAAACAATTAAAACATCTAGTAATCAGTGTCATCCTGTTAAAAACGTTTTCCAGTAACACTGTCTAGCCATTCCATGTTCATCATTCATAGTTCCATGATATTTATTCCGCTGCATTCTCAAAAGCTTGCTTAAAGAGCCAAGTTTTTACCTTTTTTCGGAAAGTCAGGAGGGAGGGAGACGATCTAATATTCCTGGGGAGGGAGTTCCATAGCCGGGGGGCCACCACTGAGAAGGCCCTGTCCCTTGTCCCGGCCATTCGCACTTGCAAGGCAGGCAGGATTGAGAGCAGGGCCTTCCCAGACGATGTACACCAGTGTTTCCTCAGATACCTAAACTCATCAGAAACAGTAGAATTTCATGCTGCTATCTAGATTCTTGATGCTCTTAAGAATTCCACAACCAGTAGCTGATTTAAGGTGAACAAACAAGACCCCTGCCTCACACCCATCCTCTTCTTATATCACATATTTCATTGTCCTCCCCACTTTTCTAATAAGTTGTAAAAAGAAGAACACAAAAAGTGCATATGCTTTGCATCCTCAGGCTAAATGCAAGGGATTTTTAACGCTCTTTTGAATTCAGTGTCATGCAAGCTCATTGCCACCAGCCTCTTCTGCTTTACGTAACACAATACATTAAACTCTCTATCTCGGTTTCCAAGGACCCTTTCACATTCCAATTGCTGTATAGTTAAGGACAGATGATTTGCTTGTGAGACAGACTTTAAGATGTAATCATGTATATAGAAAACATGTTATCCATCCAGAGATAATTTTTTTTCACTTACGTGGTTTACATAGAGACTCTTCCGTTTTTCTCTCACTGTGAAAACATAAAAATGTTGTTAAAATGTATGATTTCATTTCAGTTAACCTTTTTTGCAACATCTGAATCAGCACTAAAATGTGCAACATTTCTAACAAAAGGGGAGATAAGGCAGGACACAACCGTAAGCAACATATATTAAGGATAGAATATTCTGAATTTAAGTTTAAATTCACTGTCTTATGGCTAATCAAAAATACAATGTTTATCATATACAACAAAAAACACAATGTATTGAAATTCTACTTCCTAAATTAAAACCTCTTTATCGTTTTGGTCCCTTTATTCAATTTGATCAAAAGTCAGATTCCAGGACCACAAAAGCTTTTAATACTCTGGAGTGGCACCTACTTCTAAAACGTGTTTTAAAAGGGTTAATGTGTTAACTGGCAAGGTTATGTATTACTGGTCGAAATTTGGCAATTAATAAATATCCTTGTTGGATAATGGAATATCTCAGTTTATTGGGGAAAGAAAACAAAACTTTTAGTTCCAAGAGAAAAAAATTAATTGTCTTCAAAGCACTGGATTTCCAGGTTTCCATTGTTTCACTCCATCATTCCTCTTTGGTTTCATCTGTTAGGGAAAACTACCCTAAAATACAGAAGAGCATCCAAAATACAAACAGGATACTAAAAGTTGAGCAAGCACTCACAGCTAGCAAAGCATGACATGTCGTGTGATGTGGCTGTAAAGAATTTAGATCTTAGGCAGGCAGAGATGCAGAGTGCAATTTTAAAATCACAAAAGGTTTATTTATAACAATAAAAAGAACTGCATTTCTTAATAATCAAGAACTAGGTCTGAGCTACTCTAATACCCATCTCTTCTAAGGTTTCAAAGGGAGGGGGGAAACACCAATAACTACATCTCTTTGACACACACACACAGAGAGATCTCAACGCACACAGCACATACTCAGATGTAATCTAAACTTTCATGGAATGAGAAAAAGCTCTTTTGGAGGGGTGGGCACCAGAATATTGGCCTGAAAACTCTGACAGGCACCTGAAAGGGTGTACAGAAAAGCCCTGAATAGATTCCAGCTTGATTTTCTTTTTGCTTAAGAACCCCAGGTAACCCAAATCAGACCTTCACTCCTTCTGAGTGTTAGGGAAAACTACCCAAAAATATAGCAGAGCATCCAAAATACAAACAGGATACTAAAATTGAGCATCAGCTCACAGCATGCAGTAAAGAATGTAGAGCTTAGGCAGGAAAAGATACAGTCCTATCTTTAAAAATCACAAAAGGTTTGTTTAAAATAGAAACAATGGCATTTCTTCATAGTAAATAACTGGGTTTGAGCTACTCTAACACCCATCTCTTCTAAGGTTTCAAAGAGAAGGAAAAACATCTCTCTGACACACATATGCACACAGATATCTAAACACACACCACATACAAAGATGAAAAACTGAAGTCAGAAGTAAAGGCTTGCAGTAGGAAGTATCCATTCTACACAACCAATCAGAATGAGAGAAGAAACAGAGATTGAGATTGAGAGAGAACAAAATAGAAACATTCAAACGTCATTCAGGAATGGGGGAAGGAAATCCCTCAACTATACGAAACTAACTAACTGCTCCTCATTGAGAACTTGAGACTTGGGCAGCGTGAAGTTGAATTCCAACACCATCTGTAGCCATTTCATCAAAATTCTAAAATGCCCATCAATGCCAACCCACTTAATTGCTAATGCAGACGACATCGTATTACCCACAATCTAGATGTACAAGGATTCCCAGACATACTGTATAAGAATGTTCCCTGCCCAAAAGATCTCAGACAAATCTTATTTCATTTGGCATCATTTACAAAGCACACAGTGGCCTCAAAAAAAGTAGAAAACAAGCACAATAATTATCTGTTTTATTTAGGTGACAGGAACACTTAGTTAAGAATGTGATGCCTACCATAACAACAGGGATTAAATGAAGCTGGACAGGTTTGGAGTTAAGGTTGAAAAGTTCATGACAATTTTTGAGAGTTAACTTCTTTTCCAAAAAAGACTGCAAACTTTTTTTTCCTTTTAGGTTAACATATGGGATGACAGCCAAGATTTCTTAATTTGCTTTATTTTTAAAACCCAGTGACCCATTTTAATATTTGAAAATGCAATTAACTGTTAGTGCTTTTTAAAAATACAGCACAGAAAAAGAATCTGGGGAGCTTTAAACATTTTTTAAAAGACAAAAAGCATTGCCACCTTGTTATTGTGCTTTTGTGCTACATTTTTGTGCAGCATATTAGAGACCGGTTTAGTAAGAGGCTTCAAAAGGACAAGAGGCAATATCCTTGAGTTAATAATTACACATAAATTACAACCTCTTGCACTTGGGTAGCTCATAAATTATTCAGCACCAGAATAAAATACACTTTTATTCTTGTTAGGGGAATTGCCTGGTACAGATCCAATAGAAAGATTATGTGAATCCAAAAGGAAGTCCTCTCTGTTTCTCCTCAACCTCTATGTTTCTCCTCAACCTTTATGAAACCTGAATTTGTCTCTTTTTTAAAAGCCTCTTTTTGTGGGAGCGGAGGGTGAAGCTACCAACTATACTGGCACCAAAATAAAATAAAATAAATACAATCTCAGTACAATCTCAGTAACTCAGGGAAGGTGGACCAGGAGGGGGGACCACGAGATGGGCCAACACCAGTAAACACCAGCAACCCAACCACACTTTATCTCACCCTTCAGTTGAAATTAATTCCCACTGGTCGTCCCATCCGAACCTCCCACCAGATACATTAACCTACTTATCGACCTCAACCAGGGTTTACTTGGCCCTGCCCACTCGGCTTAATGTTTTTGTTTATTTAGTTGTACCCTGTGTTTATTTTGTATTACTTTCTTTGCATATATTTTATTGTATTTTATTTTATGGTTGTATGTTGTATTCGTTTTGCTTTGTTGGGGTGGCCTCATGTTAGCCGCCCCGGGTCCCCTTGGGGAGATGGAGGCGGGGTATAAATAAAGTTTTTATTATTATTATTATTATTATTATTATTATTATTATTATTTATTACTACCCTAAAATTGCTCCAACTGTGATAGTCATAATAAATGATTCCAGAAAATGTGGGATTTATAAGGTAACATAGGAGAGATCAGTGGCCATGTCATTAGAATTATCAGTTGATTAAGGGAAGAGATATCCCATGCCTCACCAAAGCAACAGACCTGGGAGGTACAAAGTCCGCAAGGTAATATAATTTGCATTTTCAATACGAAATATCAACCTAAGTTCCTATTTCTGTTTACAACCTCATTTCACTTTTTATTTTGCTTACCCTGTTTATTCTGGGTATCAGATAAGACCATAACAAACAGCTATTTATTCGCATAAATACTGAATTTGTACCTAACACCAGAGCCTACTTGCCAACTGCTCTCCTTTGGCTTCTACCATGGTACTGGTGGTTATATTTTGAGAGTGAAGTTTCACAACTTTGCAAGCATGGCCTAAATTTAGAAAATCTGAACACTGTTTTCAGAGTGAGAGGGTTACATGACAAGAAAAAAATGTTCCATCTCATGCAAAGATACGGGTTGCAATCTAGAGAAATGCGCATATATTATAATCTCCAAACAACAGAGAAAGGGCAGAATTCCAAAATATTCACCAAGCTTTACAATTAAAACTACAATATGGAGATTTAAGTAAGCATAACAACACACAGTAGACCCTCCACTTATATGGAGGTTAAAGGCATAGGACTAAGGTGCAAAACCATGAATTTAAAAAATAACAACAAATCTCTCATAATCTCTAGGTCCTTCAGTGTATGGTCAAAGTCAGCTGGGTCCTCTACTAGCAATTGACCACAGAATTGTGCTGTAAAACCTAAAAATTCCTAGAGACGTGTTTTCTCTACAAAATTCGAGGTGCATCAGTGCAACTATATGGTCAACCTCTAAATAAAGTTGACCACAGAGTAACCTTAGAGAACCTAGAACAGGAATGGGCAAACTAAGGCCCGCGGGCCAGACATGGCCCCCTGGGCCCTTGTCTGGCCTACAAAATTTCCCTCATTTTCTGGGCATAAGGATGTGGCGACCTGCTGCGTCCTTATGCCGAAAGGACGTGGTAGGAAGGCATGTGGTGGCTGGGAGCCTCTAGAATGCTCTTATGCAGTCGCGCCTGGGGCTATAGAGAAAGAGGCATGGACGTGACTTCTTTCCCCAGGGGATTGCTTCTTGCCCTCCTTTAGGGAAACTGGAACTCCCAAGGACCAAAACACAACAGGTAACTCGAAATGATGTTTATTGTTAACAGTTAGCTTTCTTTCTTAGGTACAAACTTGAAGTTTTAACAGGGAAAAAACACTTTATAAACTCTAAGTCCAGGGTCCTAGGAGTAATAAGCTGAGAAGCTTTTCCTGTTCCCTCTCTCTCAATGGCTATGGATGCCGGAGCAAACCACAACCCCAGTTCAGTGGCCTAAATTGAAGGACAAGACCTTCCTATGGTGCCAAAGAACTGGAATGAAGGCGCCTGAGGTCTTCACAATTTCGTTCAGGAGGTTTGAACATAAAGAATAAGACTCAGGGGTCAAAACCTAAGAGTTGGTAGTAAAAAATGCCTTGACCAGGGGCTTTGGGCCAAGCTTTGCACACGTCCATCCAATGAGTCTTTTTCTGAGGTAAAAAAAGGTGAGAGAGATACCTTTCCTTTCTCCCTTGGAAGGGGCGGAGCCTAAACAAATGAACTGGGGAAACAAGCCAATTGGTGCACAACAACAATAAATTGACAGCTATAATAACCAATGAAATTTAACTATACATATACAAGGTAGACAGGAATAAAATGGCAGTTTAAATCCTGCAACTAACAGTTCTAAATATATCTGGCGCCACACGCGCCGTCACAGCTCTCAATAGCCGCGTGCCTTCCTTGGGCCCTCCTCCCAACATAAGGAAAAGGAGAGAGGTCCTCTCCCAATGTGGGAAAAGCCTGGCACGGGGGAAGAGGCAGACGAAGCGGCTTCAAAGCCACCTTGCCTGCAGCTTGCCTCTTCCTTCTCTCAGTGTCAGGACAAGGCGACGCCCCATTCAGATGCCAAGAGAAGCCCGGCCTGGCAAAGAGGCAAGCAGTGGGCAAAGCATCTCTAAAGCTGCCTCACCTGCTGCTGCCTCTCCCTTCTCCTGGTGTCAAGACGAGACGAGGCCTCACCCTGATGCTGGCAGAAGGGAGAGGCAGGCAGGGGTTGAGGGATCGCCAAAGCCTCACTATCTGATGCTTGCTCCATTCTTATGCTGGGAGGAAAGCTTGAGGGTGATCTGCCCCTGGCCCCACCTTTTCCCCGCTCCCTCCTAGACCCATGGCCTGGCCCCACCCCCAGCCTCGCCCCCCTCCTTGGCTTGCTATGTGGCCCCCGGGCAAAAAAGTTTGCCCATGACTGATCTAGAGCTTTCTTAGAGATAAAATATTAATCAAATATATGAATAATCAAATCTGCAAAAATCCTGTTGACCCTCCACTGTATTAACATGAAATCTTACAGTTACTAATTAACTAGCCAATAAGACTAAGTCATCATAAATCTATATAAATCTATGTTTTTTTGTAGGATTAACATATCTCAAAAACCACTGGACAAAGTGACACCAAATTTGGACACAATACACCTATCAGGCCAACGAGTGACCATCACTCATAAAAACACTCAAAAACACAGCAGAAGAGGCTTAACAAGACAAAAAACAAAAATTGCATTATAACGTGTGTGCAAAACCACATATATACACAAACACACATATATACATATATACACATATATACACACACAACACCACATATACACAGACTGGGCCACAGTAACATGTGGCAGGAGGTGGCTAGTAATATTAATAACATGGCAACAGAACAGCACAATTGGTGAAATTGCAGCAGGTGAATATAAAAACAGCACCACAGTTTATTAATTTCCACTGGATGTTTAAAATTCAAGACGAGAAAAATCCAGTCCAGCTGCCTACTTGTTTTTCCTTTGAACACCTTTCAGTGGCTCTCACTTCAGGTGCTTAATATGTTTTGGCTAAGGATTATCAGGAAATACCTCACTTTCTAAAATTTGCAAAAGAGTAGGTGGGCAGGGGGGTAGGGGACTGGGGCAACTCAGCAGGGGACTATTTCATGCAGCACATATTTCTAGCAGTCCTTTTTGGAAACAAGCAGCTATTATATGTGACAGCTTTTGGGGGCGGAGGAGTTCACATCACTCAAGTCCAATGCTACAGACCGAATAAGGCAACAGTACATGAATCTCCCTCTGCTGATTACATCAAGAGGCATTCAGAAGCAAACATTAATTTCCAGGGAGGTAAAGTCACAGACTAATAAATGATTGTGTTCAACACCACTGATCAATGAACTCAAGGAGGATGCCTGCATTTTTTTTCAAGCCTGCAAGAATGACAATACAAATCAAGAACTCTAATTCGGGAGAATAAACATATTTGGTGTTGGCTTCTCCAATTAACCTACTTTAATGAGAAATAATTCTAGGTTTTTTTCCCCATTATAATTCTTTTTGAAATGTGACATCATGTTTGGAAATATTTCCAAATAAGACATCATTAACAAAGATTTGCAACAGTGCATCTACTTGCAAATCCTCACTTGGTCTTTAACAAACCTGACTCAAATATGAGCAAAATAACTTTCAATCAGCTTACATCACAGCAAACTACATTAAAACTCTGTATTAACCATGCCTAGAAGCCAAATTAGACATTGCCCTGAAAGCCTAACTATATACAGTAGATGGGTCTCACTTATCCAACATAAACGGGCCACCAGAATGTTGGATAAGCGAAAATGGATTCTGAGGGATTAAGGGAAAGTCTATTAAATGTCAAATTATACTATGATTTTACAAATTAAGCACCAAAACATCATGTCTTATAACGTTATGTAGTGATTACTGTATTTACAAATTTAGCATCAAAACATCACAATGTATTGAAACAGCTGTGGATCCGGGCGGGAGGCAGACTGTTGGATAATACAGAACGCTGGATGAGCGAAAGTTGGATAAGTGAGACTCTACTGTATTACGCAGAATGTGTGATCACATTTAATGTATCTGTCATACTGTCATTAAGTAGATATTGTGGGTGATCAAGGATGGAAGCTATACCACAGTTTGCTATTTAGTGTGGGAGGGCACCTGCTATTAGCCTCATTAGCACCTCCACTTTGACAGCAAATAACAGCTGGATGGGAGTGTCTATGTTGGAATCTCAGGATAAACTGATTAAAACAGAATAAAGTTATTGTTAAAACATTTTTAAAGAATTAAAAACTATTCATCATAGCCCTAGGTAGTCATTCTACCCACCCCACAATGAGTCCTCCTTACACTTGCAAGTACTTCACAAGACAACTAAAACATAAGAAACACAGTTAAACATTCAAACACAATACATCAATTCATTTAATCTCACCTTAAAACATTCATGAATTTAAAATGTCAAACAGAGAAAGAAATATTGAGTGGGGCTTTCCTAAATCTATATATACCATCAACCTTGACTTTTCAGAGATACCTGACTTTAGTAAACAACTACTTCACTATTTTGTATATGTCTGATATAAAAGAAGACTTTCCTTTGGAAGTTTTCTTAGTCCTTACTAAACTTAACATTCAGATATCAGACGCCCCCAAATTTTTATTGCTGACGTCTCATAATAAGCCACACGTGTATTATTAAGTGTGCCTGCAGTATGGTTTAACAGTTTCTCTTACAACAAGAGAATAAAACTAGACACTTACCATCTGTTTGTGATTTGCTGAGGAATATTGTGCTGGCCCTTGGATGATCTGAAGGGTTAAACTCCATGTTCAGATCTGAAAAGAGAAAGGGGAAAGAGAGATCAGTGTGTTGTTGAGGATCAACATTAAATTTTATTTATATAACCACTAGCTGTCCCCTGCCACGTGTTGCTGTGGCCCACATGGGGGTTCTGTGGGGGAGGTCTGGTCCAATTCTATCATTGGTGGGGTTCAGAATGCTCTGTGATTGTAGGTGAACTATAAATCCCAGCAACTACACCTCCCAAATGTCAAGATTCTATTTTCCCCAAACTCCACCAGTGTTCACATTTGGACATATGGAGTATCCTTGTAGAGTTTGGTCCAGATCCCTCATTTTTTGAGTCCACAGTGATCTCTGGATGTAGGTGAGCTACAACTCCAAAACCAAAGGACACTGCCCACCAAACCCTTCAAATATTTTCTGTTGGTCATGGGAGAACTGTGTGCCAAGTTTGGTTCAATTCCATCATTGGTGGGATTCAGAATGTTCTTTGATTGTAGGTGAACTATAAATCCCAGCAACTACAACTCCCAAATGACAAAATCAATTTTTTTGAGTGAAGGACATACATTGGGTTGTTAGGTGTCTTGTGTCCAAATTTGGTGTCAATTCGTCCAGTGGTTTTTGAGTTCTGTTAATCCCACAAACGAACATTACATTTTTATTTATATAGATGATATAACCAATATAACCAAGCATTCATCAAGTCAACTGTTTATTGCCCTTGGGACCCAGAAATAAGCTGTCTGTTACCAGAGTCTACTCTTTTCAAATCAAGAATACCTAGTTTTTTTATTCCAATTCATTTTGTTGATACACAATCCACTTGTACCTCTTGAATACACTCATCCTAATACGAAAGCATTTGATACAAAGGCATCACTTACTGTGTGTTCTTCAATAACCCAAATCCATTGTGTAGTGATGAAATTAGAGCACTCAATTTTGATGAGAAACCCCTGGGTTTAATATTGAATATGGTCATTAAACTCTTTGTGTCCTGAAAGCTATTGTAGCCCTAACCATGCTAAATCCACTGAATCAATTACTGAGTGGTGAATCACCACTTACTTATCTTCACTCCCACTGATTCAACAGGTCTACTGTAGAAAGCAGGTCTGGATGACATTGCAACACAACAGAATGCAGTTTTGGATGACTTTGCAATACAGACATTATTTTTGGGCTTAAGATAAGTAATTTTTTTCTGGGAACACAATTCCCAGAATCCCCCATTCTGTTTCATAGATACATTATTTTTTTCAAAATTCTGTCTATAATGTAGGTTGAAATGTTGTTTTTTGGAAGAAAAAAAAAGTGGAGGGAAGCATCCATTATCCTGAATTGACTAGAATCATCATCATAATCATAATAATCATCTCACTTTTTTCTCAAAAGTATTCTATCATTTTTTGCATGCTTCTTCCATAGTAGCTTGAAGTAACTATATATTCCTTCCAAGTAACCAACTGAAAACGGTTCTCTTACTGCCTATTACAGGGAAAACCAGCTGATTCCTAATCCATCTAAAACACAGATGTGTACTTTTAATCTTAAAACCAGACAAGCATCCCGAGCTCTGGGGATTAACTGGGAAAGAATCCCACTGGGGCATTGCAGCACACCCAAATACCTGGGAGTTACCCTGGACCGTGCTCTGACCTACAAGAAGCACTCCTTGAATATCAAGCAAAAAGTGGGTAGTAGAAACAATATCATACGAAAGCTGACTGTCATAACCTGGGGATCACAACCAGATACAGTGAAGACATCTGCCCTTGCGCTTTGCTACTCTGCTGCTGAGTATGCATGCCCAGTGTGGAACACATCTTACCACGCTAAAATGTGGCTCCTAATGAGACATGCAACATGCTGCATTATCACAGGATGTCTGCACCTTATACCACTAGAGAAATTATACTGTTTGGCCAGTATTGCATCACCTGACATTCGCCGGGAAGTAGCAGCCAATAATGAAAAGACCAAGGCAGTGGCATCTCTGGCTCATTTCCTGTTCGGATATCAGCCAGCATGCCAACGCTTTAAATCAAGAAACAACTTTCTAAGATCTACAGACATACTTGTAGGAACACCTAAGCAAGTGAGAGTCCAAAAGTAGCAAGCTAAAACCCAGAACCTCAAGCCATGGCTGATACCGAATGAGGGACTTCCTACTCGGCGCACAGAAGACTGGACGACTTGGAAGATGTTGAACAGGCTGCACTCTGGCACCACATCCTGCAGAGCCAACCTTAAGAAATGGGGCCACAAAGTGGAGCCCACGACATGCGAGTGTGGAGAAGAGCACACCACAGACCACCTATTACAATGCAACCTTAGCCCTGCCACATGCACAATGGAGAACCTTCTTACAGCAACACCAGAGGCACTCCAAGTGGCCAGTTACTGGTCAAAGGACATTTAGTATAGTGCCAAGTTTTTAAACTGTGATTTTTAAGTACAGTACAACTGTACTCTCAGTTCACTTCTGATCTGATAAATAAATAAATGCCAATTGAAAATATTCTACAAGGTATTCTTTTCTACATTTGAGATAATGAATGTCAAGGTTAAAATATTGCAATCTTGGGATGTAAGCAAAGCAGTAAAGTCTTTCCTTGATATCAGTTACAAAGATTTACCTTATACAGTATGTATAAGTCTAGAAATGTAAATGATCCAAAAAACTGACTCAACTTATCCAAGGACCATATCAAAATCTATAATATTGGCTCCCAAACCTGCCTTTAATTTATACATGAGATTGATTTATACATAGTTATTTATTTATTTATTTATTTACTTCGCTTATAGACCGCAATTCTCAGCCCAGGGGCAACTCACTGCGGTGTACAACATAGAAAAACAGGTGCAAAATACAAGACATAGTGTAAAATAATCCACAATTCATCATTATCAAAAACATCCTCATCAAAAACATCAAAACATCAACATTACTACAAAGCCATTCCGTGTCGTCTCATCGTCAAACCCACAATCCGGTATCATAGGTATATATAGTAAGTATACAAATGAAACTGTTGGCAGGTCTGCCCTAAAACTAAAAGAGGAACTACAAGGGTTATCCGGAAAGCAAGGTTACAAGGCACGTAGCTCTCACGGAGAATTTTCACAGGGGTAGTTGGTATCACCGCCATGTAGTGGGAAGTCAGTGGAAGCAAATGAGCAGTGCCAGTCATCAGTAGCTCATTGACTGGCGTTGTGGTGAAGGTTAGCGATGAGTGTCCTCATTCCATTTCCCTCCAAGTGCGAAGTTTGCATTGTAATATGCTACCTAAATGCTAAGGGCATGAACGCTGATGCAATTCATTGTAAAATTGTTTCAGTTTATGGAGAGGACTTAATGTCAAGACAGCATGTGACAAAATGGGTATGGAGTATATTGTGAGATCATGAAGAAACTTCACAAAGCCATCCAAAACAAACGTCGTGGGATGCTGATAGTGGGAGTCTGTCTCCTTCATGACAATGTGCGTCCACACACAGCTCATGCAACACATGAGTTGTTGACTTCATTTGGTTGGGACGTTTTAAGCCACCCCTCTCACAGCCCCGATCTCGAACCCAGTGACTATCATCTGTTCACTAAATTTAAGGAACACCTTGGTGGAAAACACTTTTCCGACGATGACGAGGTGAAAATTGAAGTGACAAACTGGCTGAAAAAGGCGGAGGAAAACTTATATGACACAAGCAACAAAAACTCATCCCAAGGATGACAACATGTATTGAACTGAATTGTGAATATGTGGAAAAATAATGTAATGCCTATGCTACAATCCACGTAAGCTTTATTAAAGTATATTCATTCTTTGCCTTTTTTAAAAAAATATATATTGTAACCTTACTTTCTGGATAACCCTCGTATCTGTCTTGTTTGGCCAACAGTGCCCTGGACCTATATTTATTAAAGCCTAGTTAGTGCTTTTAGACAATTGCAAAATGGGCAGGAGGTCTGAGCCTGAGTACAACTTGGTGACTGAGGCATGCTGAGGGCTATATCCAGCTACCCACACTGCCCATTTTATAATCTGGTTCATAATCTATTCATACAAATGTACTAATAGAAATTGCTTCTTTTTTTTTTTTGAATTCATCTTTATTGAGTTTTCAATTTTAAAAAAAGACATGAGACTTACAAATTAATACACACGTTTGACCATCAGACATTACATACAAACAATCCAAAACAGTTACACACAGTTTAAAAACAGATGACTTCCATTTTATGTCCTATTAAATATAATTGTTGTGTAGAGTCCCTATTCCCTTTTTCGACGAAGGGTAAGGTTCCATTCCGGTTGATCCTATATCTTGATTGCATATATTTCATTTCTTTTTTCCATCCTTAATTTCTTTTACAAACTTATATCAGATCCTTTTTCCTCCCTTTCCATTTCATATTCTTCCACCTTATCCCAGCTCGTTTTGGGCGGTGGGTTTCCTGACCCTTTCTTTAAGAGAAACGTCAGTTTATCCATGTCTTTTATATCTCTGAGCTTCTCTAGCCATTGCTCTGTATTAGGCCTCTCCTCTTCTTTCCATTTTTTAGCGTATGTGAGTCTTGCCGCCGTTGTGATGTAAGTAAAGATTTTATCATCATTCTGCTCAAATTTTATATCTTTTTCTGTCAAGCCTAGTAGAAAGATCTCTGGCTTGAAAGGAATATCTTTTTTAAATATTTTTTGGGACTCAGCTCTTATTTCTTTCCAAAATTTCCTAGCCACAGGACAAGTCCACCACAGGTGGAAGTAGCTACCCACGTTGGTTTTACACTTCCAACAGGTGTTTTTATATCCTCGGTACATTAAGCTCAGCTTTTGCGGTGTTAAATGCCACCTATGAAAACATTTTAGCCAGTTTTCTTTTAATGAAGTAGAATAGGTGTATTTTATTTTTTTTCTCCAGATGTTTTGCCACTCCTGGAGCTTAATTTCTCTGCCAAAGTTTTTGGCCCATGTTACCATACAGCCTTTCACCCCTTCTGTCTCGGTCTCCCATTCTAGCAGTA